CAATCTGCCAAGCCCAACAGATCCACAGTGATGATGGGCCTAAAGGCAGCCTGCAGGAAGGGGCCATGGCACCAGCCTTTCCTGCAACCAAGGTACAGGGCTGGTCCTCAGAGAGGAGCTGTAAAGTGATCCTTTGTTTGCAAAAACACAAACATTCCAGAAACAATAGCCACAGCGGGTAGGTAAATTCTAGGAATTCTCAATCTATGTGTGCAAAATTAACAAAACCGAATCAAGAACTATTTTACCAATTAGTATACATTTTCTCTTTTTTCCCCCTTCTTTTTAAAAAATAGATTTTTAAAGAGAGGAAGAGAAAGGGAGAGAAACATCAATGTGAGAGATAAACATAGATCAGTTGCCTCTAGCACATACCAGGACTAGGGTTCAAACCCACAACCTGGGCATGTGCCCTGACAGGGAATCAAAACAGCAACCTTGCCCTAGCCAGTTTAGCTCAGTGAATAGAGCATCGGCCTGCAGACTGAAGGGTCCCGGGTTTGATTCCGGTCAAGGGCACATACCTCGGTTGCAGACTCCTCCCCGGCCCTGGCCCTGGCAAGTGCAGGAGGCAACCAATCGATGTGTTTCTCTCACATAGATGTTTCTCTCTGTCTTTCCCTCTCTCTTCAACTCTCTCTAAAAGATCAATGGAAAAATATCCTCGGGTAAGGATTAACAAAACAAACAACAAAAAACAACAAAGTGTAAAAAAATATAAACAAAACAGCGACCTTTTGGTGTATGGGACAACTCTCAAGCAACTGAGCCACACTGGCCAGTATAAATTTTCTTACCACTTCATGTTCAGAGCTCCCTGGCCAATTAAGTCACTTATCACAACACTATGGTTTTCTGTATTTGTGTCTGCCACCGGTAGAATTGTAGTGACCTCTTGTAGGTGAACATCATATTATCTGGCACTTGCTCACATATAGTAGTTGCTCACTAAATGTGCTGAAAGAAAGTCCCAGTGTGTAAACTAAAGTTCTTATATTTCCTGGCTCCCTAAGGGTGGTTGAAGCCCATAGCTTCTTTGTGCCCGCTCTGCCCACTAAGGCTGGGCACACCATATACAGTAAATCCTGGAGCCTGATTCAAGTTGCCATCTCACAAATTTCTTTCCCGTCCCATACTTTTTCTTCTCCATTTCCTCTTCCTTTCACTCCCTTTGCACTTCACCTTTTTAGCGAGGTAATTAAACACACAGGACTTGGAGTCATCTAGCCTCTGCAACTTACTGGGTTTATGGACCTGTTACTCTCTGGAATAGTTCTATTGTAAAATAGAAGTGATTAGACCTACCTGAAGACTAGAAATGATGTGTGTATACAAAGCACTCAGCACAGTGTCTAGTCCACAATAAAACTCAGTAAGTGACAGTTATCTACTCTAATAAAAGAGAAAGATGCAAATTGACTGTACCTTCACACCCACCAGCCAATCAGGAGTGAGTATGCAAATCAACCCAACAAATATGGCACTTAATTTGCATATGCAGGCACCAAGCGGCCAGGGGCGGGGCGGGACGCAGGCCTTCCGCACCGCCTCAGCCGCTCCGGGCCTCTGGGCAGCGTGGGAAGGTGGAAAGGCAGCTCCAGGCTGGAACGAAGGCAGAAAGGCGGCTCTGGCCAGAGCAAAGGCAGTGTCGGCCCCAGGGGAAGGAAGGCCCATTCTTGCACGAATCTTCGTGCATCGGGCCTCTAGTTACTATATAATTGTCCATAGGAACCATTTATCTAAATGGTGTTTATAATGCTAAAAGGCAGATTGATTTTTCCCCCTACCTCTGTATGTCTGCTTTTGAGACAAACCTACCTATTTTGAAAACAAACTAAACATGTCCCTGTCACTAGTTAAAATCTTCCCTTTTTCTTTTTCACAGGGAAATTAAATGAGTGATCAGTCATGATCAAACTGGGTAAAAGATTCTGTTGCAATCAGTGGTTAGGATCCCAGACTAGTTTGGTTAAAAAACTAAATACATGAAATAAAAATCATCCATAAAGTAGCTGAGCTAGGGCAATAACAGGTTCTAGGTCTTGGGAACCAGAAACCCACACCAAGCAAAAGGCAGAGTAAATCATGTTACCTCCATTTCTTCACCTATAAAAAGGGTATAATATACTGTACTAAACTTTGATGACCTCACAAAAGTAAGAATCAATGAGATAACAGGTTTTGAAAAAGCTTTCACTTCTTCAAAGGAAAAGCAGTAAGTAAATTCAGAGCATGATTATTATTAAAATGTAATGCCTTGCCCTAGCCAGTTTGGCTCAGTATATAGAGCATCGGCCTGCAGACTGAAGAGTCCCAGGTTCGATTCCGGTCAGGGCATATACCTTGGTTGCAGGCACATCCCCAGTAGTGGGTGTGCAGGAGGCAGCTGATCGATGTTTCTCTCTCATCAATGTTTCTAACTCTCTATCCCTCTCCCTTCCTCTCTGTAAAAAAATCAATAAAATATATTTAATAAATAAATAAGTAAAATGTAACGCCCAATAATATGACATAAATAAGCCAGTAATGTTTCTTACTCTTTTAAGAACATTTTGATAACCTTTAAAATATATATATATATTTTATTTCAGATAAGGGAGAGGGAGAGATAGAAACATCAATGATGAGAGGGAATCATTGATCAGCTGCCTCTTGCACGCCCCACACTGGGGATTGAGCCCACAACCAGGCATATGCCCTGACAGAATCTCACATAGGTCAACTCTCAACCACTGAGCCACTCTGGCCAGCCTTGATAGCCTTTTAATCTGTTCACAAGGAGCCTGCTAGAAGCAGCAGAAGGTAAACAGCTGCTCTTCATAAAGCCCAGGTCAGAGGCAGAGCCCATCAAACTTAAGACTGCCCTTACTTGCCAGTCAGGCCTCTCCCATCCGGGCCAGCTCTGATGCCAGTGCCAGAAATTAGGCAAGGTTTATGGTTCCACTTGGACATGTCAAAGCAACAACCAAAATCCTCATCCACAAGCTACTCAACAGACCCACAGAGTTGTCCTTAAGTGTGTACCATCCTTTCTGAAAAAATGCAACACAAGCCAGGAGGAAGTGCTCAATTTTTCCTTGTTTGATTTTCATTTCTAGGTCCAGAGGTTTGAGTTTCATTTTTAACCTAACATAAAAATTTTAATGTGAGAGGTAGAGGTTGGCGTGGGAAGAAGACTGACAGGGGCTAATCTTCCTAACTTAAGAGGGGAGCATGCAATCAAACTGCATCCAATTTCATCACCCACAAATGTCCTGAGAGAAAAAAGATTATTTACATTTATTAAACATCTACTATGTACTCTAGAGTCTATTTTCTCTCCCACACTTAGAAACACCACAAACAGCCATCACCAGGGAGGGAACCAGGGAACCATACCAGGAAGATGGGTGTGAGGGGAGTCACAATCTGGTAATCAAGTCCTAGACATTTCAATGGTTAGTGTTATGAACACAAAGAGTCTTGGCTAGGAACCAAGTTCAAGTTCCTAAAGATCCTTTGCAAGAGGAACTCCCAAACTGTTTTCCCTAAAATTCTGGAATTAACTCATGCTATTTAATGTACTATTTTAAAAGTTTAAAAAATTTTTAAGCCTGGAGCAGCACAAGAATTCAGTGTAGGGCTAAAACAACCTGAGCCAGATTTCTGACTCAAGCACATCTGACAAATATGGAATTCATAAGATCCCCTTAAAGGCCTTTTACAGATGTGCTCACAGGGGAAGGCAACCACAACAATGAACTGGCATATGTGTGGCCAGGTAATGAGAGAGCAAAGCCTTCCTGCTGGCAGCAACAATTCCAAGTACGAAGTCTTTCTCACTATAAAACCCAACTCATTCTCACTCCTAGGTTACAAGCTGTGTTCCTAAATGATTGTCTATGTCGAAAACTGTCAGATGGGACCAAATGCACATTGGTGTTCTGATGTTTAAATGCCATTCTCTTTATCCACATCCCACTAAAAAAGAAAAAAAGTGATAAGCCTTAAAAAAAAAAAGACACTATTTACAATTCACCTCCATTCCTCTGCATTAATGCACTTCATGTAAACCATTAACATTCCTCTGCATTAACGCATTTCATGTAAACCATAATTAACTTCTGCGTTAAATACCAACATTAAAAGAACATAAATGTGGTTTGTATTCGGTGGAAACGCTTTCCCTGAGTTATGACTGTGGAGAAAAATCAGCCAAGATATAAGGCCAGTCCATGTCCCTGGACGGGATGAGGTAAGAGGTCTTGCCTGAGGGCCCAACAAACTGCGATGACTAGCTTACCATCCTCCCAGAACCCCACAGCTCAGGCTGCCACAGCGTCCGCTTCCTGCTAACACCCGGTGAGCCTCTGATCTGGGTACAGGGCTCCTTGAGGTGATTTGTAAAGTAGGAATTTCCAATGTGCCACGCAGACCTCCAACAGCGAGGTCTGGTGAGGCAGTTAGGGAAGCGGGAGGGGGAGGCTCATAGATAAGTGATGCATCTGGCTGCCATCATCTCACCCTGTCCGAGAAAATAAAAGGAAAAAGAACTTGAGGGTCCTTTCCTGGCCATCTACCACACAGACCTCAACAGCCTACTCAGCCCCCGCCAGGCCTGCAGACCAAGGCTCTCAGGACAGGACCTACCCGTGGAGGCCGACGATCCGCCCGGCCACAGGCGACTGAAGAGGGTCCGGTCCCCAGCTCCGGGGAAGGCCGGCGGCCCGGCAGCGGGCAGGCCCCACTCACCCCCAGCTCCCAGAACCTGCACCAAATGCCTTCCAGAGCCTCCACCCGAGTCCCGCTCCCGCTCCCGCTTCCACAAAGCGCTGAAACCTCCCTGGGACTCGGGCCCGCACTCCGGCGCCGCACCCAATTCCAGGGACCCGGAGGCCGGGCCCCGCCGGAAAAGGGCTTGGAAAGTCCGCCAGAAGGAGGCGCCAGCCACACGGCGGCCCCCGCGCCCTCGAAAGCCAGGGCGGCAACGCTTCGGGCACAAGTCGGGTAGTTGTGATCACCTGCTCCAGGCCGCCAGCCGTCGTCCGCGGAAACCCCGAGCTCGGGGTGCAGCCCGGTCCTCACCTCCGCCTCATGCTGCTGTGTTCACCTGGCGCCGGCGACCCCTGGCCGGCCCTGGCCACAACCCAGCAGCTCAACAGCATCCAGCGCGGGCCACTGCACGGAACGGGCAGCCCAGGCAGCTGCGAGGCTGCCGGCTGGGAGGGCACATGGAAGGGCAAGGGCTGCAGCCCTCCAGCGCGACCACAGGACCCCGGCCTTGGGGGGTGACAGATCTAAGTGCACCTCGGGAAGTGCCACGTAGCTCCCAACCTCCGGGACGCTGTTGCTACCTACAGGCTCTAACAGTGCCAGAATCTCACGGTTACAGGCAAAAGATAAAGAAATAAGCTGTTGCCTCGCAATTCCCCTTCTCTACTCCCCCCCCTCACGGTTCACATGGTACATTCCTCAAAGCCTGGCCTTGGCGACGGAGGGAGCAGTGGATTGGTTGGGAATCTTGGAAAGGAACGAGGAGACACAAATAATGGCCAATGGAAAAACGCGGTGGGCTGCCAGATGAGAAAAAGAGAGGGTGCGCTTAAAGGGGACTCGTTTGTTGCTCTCAGTACCCGCCACACAGCAAAACTAGAATGTTCTTCCTGTTCCTATCCAGATGGGAAACAACGAAATTAGGGGAATCCTCAAATTATGGGGTTAGAGAGCTAAAAGAAAATGTGGACAGAACTGAACCAGATATAAGTGTGTGACTTTGGATGGGTTACTCCATTCTCTCAGCCTCAGTTTCCTCATCTAATACAATGAGGACATTAAGCAAGCATTAATCTCTGATGGTCCTCATATTTTGTGATCCTATGATCCTTTGTATGGGATTAACAATATTTACTCTTCAATATTCTTCGATTTGGTGCATGCTCCACCATCCTAAAGAACTTTGGCTGGAAGTTGGTAGACTTTCTGACACCAAATCCTTTACAAAGACAGTATCAACCACATCTTTTGTAAAGACAAATTAAATATTATTTCTGGATCCCTGCTCTCTTAAAACAGAGCATTTTTCTTATTCTTTCTTATATGTGGAGAGTCCACCCTCCCCCCTGAAAATCTCATAATTTCTACTTTTCCAATAGTCACCTCTTCCTCTTCTCTCCTCGCCCACGTAATTAGATAAAACTTCAATTAATATTCATTTGCCTGTTGAACTGTTCAGAATCCCTGTCTTTAACAACAAATCTCGTTGCTCAGTCCTCATTAGAGTTACTAAAGTGCTCCTCTCTATCTGAAGTCTGTGAAGGCCACTCAGCTATGCATAGCCAAATATGCTTTCAGTCATACTACTTGTCAAATTTAAGACTTTGAAAACACCCTCTTGAAGCCTAGTCTGCTATATTTTAGAGCAAGTAGTCAGGCCTGCATTTAGGCTATCAAACTTCTTTTTTCAGAACTTTTCAATTTCCCATCATCTGGTCACCCTACACCCACTCAACCTTCTTCCAAATTTTATCAGTTGTTTAGATATAATTTCTACTCCCAGACAGACAACTAATCTATTATTCAGAGATCTCTGGAAAGTCCAGTTCCTCCATGAAGTCTTCCTAGGCTGATTAACAGAAGCCACTAGTTTACACAGCTCCCATTTCTACTCTGTGCCCCCATAACACTGATTTTCTGCCCCAATATGCAATTTGTATTGACATATTTACTTCTCTCATGCATTTACAACAGCAGTGACGGGAGCTTACATTTATTAAGTGCTAGGCACTGTTTGGAAGTGCTTTGCATGCATTATTTAATTTCACCTTCATGTCAACTATATGAAATGTTGTTATTCTTACTGTTTATATAAATAAAACTAGAGGCTCGGTACATGGATTTGTGCGTTGGTGGGGTCCCTCGGCCAGGCCTGTGCCCTCTTGCAATCCAGGACCCCTCGGGGGATGTTGGAGAGCCGGTTTTGGCCCGATCCCTGCAGGCCCGGTCCAGACAGGAGGAAGCCTGATGCCCACAAGCCCAATTCAGACAGGAGAGAGCCCGATCCTGTGTGTTGAGCATCTGCCCCCTGGTGGCCAGGGAGTGTTATAGCAACCAGTGGACCAGTGGAACAGTTGAACAGTTGCTTAGGCTTTTATATATATACTAGAGGCCCAGTGCACAAAAATTTGTGCACTCGGGGGGGAGGGGGGGTCCCTCAGCCCGGCCTGTGCCCTCTCGCAGTCTGGGAACCCTCGGGGGTGACCACTTGCTGGCTTAGGCCTGCTCCCCGGGAAATCGGGCCTAAGCTGGCAATCAGACATCCCTCTGGCAGCCCGGCAGCCCTTGGGGGATGTCCACTTGCCAGTGGGGAGCAGGCCTAAACTGCAGTCGGACATCCTTAGCGCTGCTGAGGAGGCAGGTGAGGCTCCCACCACCACCACTGTACTGGCAGCTATCAGCCTGGCTTGTGGCTGAGCAGAGCTCTTCCCATGTGAGAGCGCCCTGACAACCAGAGGGCAGCTCCTGCATTGAGCGTCTGCCCCCTGGTGGTCAGTGTGTGTCATAGTGACCAGTCATTCCCAGTCTTTCTGCTGTTAGGGTCAGTTTGCCTATTACCCTTTTACTATATAGGATAGAGGCCTGGTGCACAGGTGAGGGCAGGCTGGTTTGCCTTGAAGGGTGTCCCAGATCAGGGTGGGGGTCCCGCTCACACCCCCTTCAGGGTGGGGGTCCCCACTGGGGTGCTTGGCCAGTCTGGGTGAGGGGCTGATGGCTGTTTTCGGGATGGTGGGTGACTGAAGCTCCCAACCTCTCCTTTTTTTCTTTTTTTTTTTTTTCATTCTGGGATTTATTTACCTTCTATGGCTGTAACTGGAACTGAGAGCCGGCTTTAGCTCTGAGGCTCGGCTCCAGCTCTGAGACCTCGGCTGCTGAAAGCAGGTGTCTGGGTTTGTTTGGCTTCTATAATTGAAACACTGTTGCAGCTCCAGCTCTGAGGCCCGGCTGGCTGAAAGCAGGTTTCTGGGGTTTGTTTAGCTTCTATAATTGCAACATTGTTTCTTAGAGTGCACCTTAGAGGCCGGCAGCGGCAGGCGGGCAACCTTGGCTTCCTCCATCACTGGAGCAAACAAGCCTCCTGTTCGCTTCAGTTGCCTGGCTGCCAGCCGCCATCTTGGTAGGCAGTTCATTTGCATATAGCCCTGATTAGCCAATGGGAAGTGTGTCAGAGGTACGGTTAATTACCATGTTTGTCTATTATTAGATAGGACTAGAGGCCCCATGCACGAAATTAGTGCACAGGTAAGGTCCCTAGGAAGGCCAGCGATCAGGGCCAATCTGTGGGGCAACGGGTGGGGCAACTGGGGACCCCTGCTCACACCCACCTTGGCTGGCCTGGCACCACCTACTCACCATCCCTGCCCCCCGCCACCGCTGCTGGTCAGGGCCTGTAGGCTGAGAGCAGCTCCTGCGATGAGCAGCTGCCCCCTGGTGGTCATAGCGCATAATAGGGACCAGTCATTGTTCGGTTGATTTGCATATTAGGGTTTTATATAGATAGACTAGAGGCCCGGTGCACAAAAATTTGTGCACTCGGGGGGGGGGGGTCCCTCAGCCCGGCCTGTGCCCTCTCGCAGTCTGGGACCCCTCGGGAGATAACGACCTGCTAGCTTAGGCCTGCTCCCGGGTGGCAGAGGGCAGGCCCAATCCCTAGGTGCAGCCCCTGGTCGGGCTCAGAGCAGGGCTGATTGGGGAGTTGGAGCGCCGCCTCCTGTCATGCACAGAGCAGGGCGGATCGGGAGGTTGTGATGCCACCCTCAGTCACGCTCAGGGTAGGGCCGATTGGGGGGTTGGGGCACCGCCCCCTGTCACACTCAAGGCAGGGTCGATAGGGAGGTTGCGGCGCCACCCCCTGTCACGCACAGAGCAGGGCCCATCAGGGGGGTTGGGGCTCCATACCCTGTCACGCACAGAGCAGGGTCAATCACCCCCCTGTCACGCACAGAGCAGGGCCGATTAGGGGGTTGAGGAGCTTCCCCCTGTTACTCACAGAGTAGGGCCGATAGGGGAGTTGGGGCACCGCCCTCTGTCACACACAGAGCAGGGCAGATCAGGGGTTTTGGGTCCCGCCCCCTGTTCACACTCAGGGCAAGGGCCGATGGCGGGTGGAGGGGGTGGGGCCACACTCTTTCACCCCAGAGCAGGACGATACGGTGTTGGGGTGTGCACTGTGGCGTAGACGGAGCCGGGCCGATCAATGAGTTGGGGGCCACATACCCTGTCTCACCCAAAGTCCGAGGGGCAAAA